ACGTCGGTCAATGTCAATAGCGGTCATTCACCCGACAGCGACTGATCGCCGATCCCTATAAACTTGTCGCAATATTGACATTCCTTGAGGAACATAATAAAAGCTAATGACATAACTTAAAAAGAAAAACACGTTTCACTTCACGAAAGAACAATGACAAACTCTATATTTTCACATATTTTTCAAAACAGACGTTTTGAAAAATATGTGTGAAAATATAGAGTTTAAATTACTGAACGAATTTTGTTTTAGATCTACTATTCTGAGAAGTCTAGAATTAAAAATATGCCAGTATGAAGTTTTGGAGGCCATATTTTAAATAATTCAATAAAATATATTCGGTGTATTAATATATAAAAATAATCTGCAGAAGTGTTAGACAGAGTTACTAGAAGCTGAGTGGTGCCATAGATTTGTGACGTGACGAAAGTTCAGAGGAAAATATTTTTTATAAGGTATCGTCAAAAGGGATGAAGTTAAGCTATAATAAAAGAAAACTTAACATATGAAATAAAATAAAAATAACCTAAGAAAATTAAATATATAAAAAAAGTTACATATACCACGCCCCGGTTTCTCAGGCACAAATGATTTTTTTGTGAAACATGCCATCTATCCCTGATATTATGAACTTTTTTGTCAGTTTTGCCAATATCTCGCGTGGGATATTTGGAGGAGGTATTATCTACTTTATTCTTTTAATAATTAAGTACTTAATCGCTTATAGCAAATCCGTCCAATCAGTACATTCATTTGATATTACGTGAACTGACTTAACGTGAACCAATCTATATGTAGGTATTGAAAAATCTCTTTTTGGCGGTTAGATGTCGCTAAATGTTAAGAAACTGACCAGTCCAGTTACATACTAATTAGTCATTTTAAGCTTCATTTAAACTTAGACAGGTCTTTAGTATAATCTAAAGAATTTATTTTATTCAAACCTTAATTATAACGTTTGAAGATGCTAAAGAATTCTTTTAACTTAGCCATTGTTCTTTAGCCATAAACGTAAATTTAAATGTATGTTTTTTATAATCATAATTTATTATTATTATTTTCATTAAATAATTGTTTAATGAAAATAAACAATTTAATTACGTTACACTAATGTACCACTACTTCTTTAAGATTTAAAACTAAGTGCATAACAACAATAATTCAGTTTCCGTAATGTTATAAAAAATGTATAAATTTTAATTTAACTTCAATGAAAAAAACTCAAGTTCTCTAATAAAAACACAAATTTCAGCTTATCACCATTTTTTCACCTACTTTTTATCACATGAGAGGAATGCTTGTGCTCGGTACATTTTCGGAAATAATCACGTTTAAATATTGGTGTTGTTTTGTTAATTGCTTTTATTAATTTGCTTTGTTATATTTCGTTAGAAATAAGACCATTCCTTAAGATTCGACGACTATAATCGTATTCTGAAGGTGACAGTTCTGCTAATTCAAAGTTTACAACCCCTGAGGTCATCAGTACGTGAAAATGACTTCTACCACAATACGCTAACGTTAACACATTCGCACGTTACTGGGAACATTGGAGAGTATCGTTTTCACAAAAACGTACGCAGTGGTAGGTAGGAGTGAATGATCGCCACTGATATGCTAAATGGCACTTAGTATAGAACACTGAATTATGTGATTAATTTTGTTATTTACATATTTATTTTATTATTTACTTTATGCCATAATATAAATAGTTCTATTATAATGAAAAAAGGGATTACAATTAATCAATTGCTTATTATTGTTTGTGTTATTGAATGTATAGTTGTTGGCAAAATTTAAACGATTGAAAAAATATATTACCGCTTCTAGTTATATGTATGTATTAGATTCAAAAGAGCACATTTTTGTGATAAGTATTATGAATATATTAAGAAAACAACAGTACGTATTGTTAAAACAATTTTTTTATTCATATTTTTGTCCCTGATGATACAACATAGCATTGTTGTTTCAAGATAAGTACGAATGTTTTAAAAAATATGTATATTGAAATTTTCCTTTTGAAATGTATATTTATTTGCAGGCAAGGAAATAAACTGTTATTTCAACATTCATAAGCACGAGTAAAAAATTCTAAACAAGATAGTGGATATTTGCTTTCAAATTGAACCTTTAACACAAATACATACATAGGAAATGAAACTATTTTTCCGGATTTAAATCGCGTATATTTATTTTTTCAAACAAACCGACTGTTTAAAAAAACAAATATACGCGATTTAAATCCGGAAAAATAGTGTATTTCCTACACGGTAAAAACAGATAACTTAGAAAAAGACAAAATTCTTTTTATGAAGACAAATTTATTAAATCCAACAAAACGATCCTCTCCCTATAGACGCTAGAGAATAATTACTTGATAATAGTAAAAAAACGTCTCAAAAGTGTATTTTAGTAACAAGACAGAAATATTTAATCCAAGAGCAAATTAATTTACTTCAAGTCACAAAGCCATTTTACACTCAACAAAATATTTATTTGTTATTAAATTAATGTTTTTAAATTATATGTCAGATTTTGATTCGAAAAATAAAAAGGATGAAAAATTGAGAGGTACTTAATTATTTGACTGAAGATTTATGTTTTCTAATATCAAAAAGAGTAAAATTACAGGGTTATGGACACAACAGAAGATCTCGCTCGCGTAAAAGCACACAGTTCAGTGCCAAACCTTAAAGTAGCAGAAATAGGACGGAACCTTCTCAAATACTTGAGGACCATTCAGTGCCATATAAATGCTACAGCGGCAGAAAGCACTAACAATTCCAATTATATGAGATGACTTTATACTATTGAAGTTAACAAAACGATAGCGCGTTTAAGAGTACAACTAATGCCATCTAGCAGTGGAACTAATTGCATGTTTGTTAAAAGTTGTGCTTGTTACAAGTGTAGTTTGATTTCATGCTGTAACAAAATTTCTTAAATTATGACCATAAATAACACCCTAACAAACTAGAGATACTATGTATTGTTTCTTTGGATAAATGACTGTTTATGATTTTTATGATTACAAGCACAAGTAAAAGCAATCGTTACCGCGTGCGCCTTCGGCGACATGTCACGACAACATTAACTATGAAAACGGAACGAAATGTTGCTTTAAGAATATACTCTAGAATTTAGAATATTAATCTGAATAGAAAACTACTTCTTTTTTTGTTTAAGAATATATATTCTTAAAATACACCCAAGATATTTTGAATTCATTTAAGATTATTTAAATTTGATGTAAGAGGTAAAAATTTCTTGATATAAGTAATGTCCAATTAATTGATTTAGAAATGAAATAAAATCATGAAGTGAACGTATTCATCTCAAAGTTAGAATAAAGTTAAGAGTAAAATAGTATTAGAAAAAGATAAGCAGTATTTTTGTAATAACAATATTTTATTACTTTTAATAAATATTTTTTCAGAATTAGCAAATATTTTGAGAAATTGCTCTTTCTTATTAGTAGAAATCCTTTTTTCTCTGTATATTTCGCGATTGTTACACACAATCGCGAAAACCTAAGGACTCTACAAATACGTACATTTCACACTCTATTCCCGTCGCGGTAGTTAGAGATCGCAACCTTCCACTAGCTACAATACCCACACATCTTTCGTCTAATCAAATCTTTCGCCTGATCAATACGCATCAATATTTTCATACACGCTCATCAGTTAAAGACACTCTCAAGTTTTTTTTTACATTGGCGAACTGTCAGGTAATTTGGTCCACATGATAGAAAGTAGTAACCAACTCTTTAAATATAATTACGATATTCAGCAAGTATTCTGCCCTTGTTATCATAAGTAAACGAATCGACATTTTTAGCGAAATTGCGTTAATGACATATCAGGGAACAGAGAAATACTTAAGTTATTCATTTACTAAAGATATCTGAGATTACATTTGATAACATTAGATATAGGTATGTGCTTTACATTCATGACTCATACATTTTTATGCATACTTGTGTACTAGAGCAGTATTGTATTATGAATAATTCTTTAATGTCATAGGGTTCATTAACAGAAGTTCAGAGAGGACAGAATGCAAGCCACATTTATCTCAAGGGTAAATTTAAAAGGAATTGTCTAAATTTAACAGTTCTATGCTAAAATTATTAAAAATCTTCTGTTATTAAAAATTTTCTTACCAATAAAAAAATAAGGCACTAAACTTTTGTGTCTACAAGAACAAGTATCAGTGACAATAATAAAAATTATATGTGCATTTCTAGTAACATACTCACATCTATACAATGCAACTACATGATCAATATAACGAGTTTCACAAATACCACTCCCCTACTTCTGAGAAAATTGATTACTAATTAATTTTCGCAACTCGAATTCACAAACTGGAGGGTTTCACATTTGGTACAGAGGATTTAGCACGTGGTAGAAGAGAAAAATATTTGTGTAAACAGAGACACATTATATATTACATATTTGTGTTGTTAATTGTAAAAATTAAGTGTTTGTAATTAAATTTTGAAATAATGAGCTCTTAGCAAATTAATTAGTAATTTTAGTTCTCTGAGTCTCATTTGTAAATATAAATTATTTTGTATTATTTTTGTATTTTGAGTAAACTAGTAATGCCATCTATGGGATGTTAGTGTGATTATTGGAGTTCACTTTTTTCACTTATGAATATATAATGAATGTTATGACTAAATGTGATACTTGACAAATGTTATAAGCAAAACATATGTGTTTTAAAATATGGACTTACACCACTTTTATAATGATTGACATATTTATGTAAAGTATTTTTGGTGCAAATATTGTTTTATTAGGAAGAGTTGACAACTCTAACCCGTTTAGACTTAATACCAAATTTGTAAATTACATAGACTTTTTGTAATTAATAAATAACAAAATGTAGCACGTAACAACTTTTCTGCAACACAAATCAAAGTTCTTGGTTGGAGTTCTAAACAGTGCCACAGCTATTAGATATTACTAGACTAAGACTAGTCTTACCTTCAACTCCAGCTTTTCCTTTCAAAGCAATGACTTTGCTAGCCGGGTTCATGATGGCGGAATCAGCACTGATCGGCCGACGGATGGGGTTTGTTGGGTCACCCAAGTCTATGATCACAACCTCAGCTGTTTCCCCAACTTTTTCTCGGACACAGATGAACTTGTCCGACTCCATCGTCAGGGTGTTGAACGAGATGGAGGCAGGGTTGATGCCAATGTTTGTGAGCTGCAAATTTTTAAAATTTTTGTGAATGTGCATGAGACATGCAATATAGATAGACACATTATTAACAAATGTGTGTATTATTGTCAGACATATAGTTGCTTATCTTCAGATGATATTGTACTAAAGTGTGCATCTTATATACACTAAGAAAAAAAAGCAGCCTACTGTCCTGGTGGTATAACTACAGTGGCACTGTCAGTTTCTGTCTAATCAATTTAGTTGGGTTTCATGTCTATACAAAATTATTGAATTTAATTCTGTTTGTACATTCTCTGATAGTTTAAGAAATTGTATTTATCCATGGAAAAATGTGTTTTGCTTAACTTTCCAATGCTAGGGTAATAAACTTTGTTTCAAATACAATGATGTCATTTGGGTAATCGTGAATTAGATTTCCTATTTTCATATAAGATTCTAAGCGGATATAAACAAAGTTACTACATTCGCCTATATATATAGAAATTTATGAATGTTACCACCTCCTTCAGGGTTGGTCATTCTGTTAAGTTTTTATCAATTTCAGCTATTCTAGCCTTTAAATTGTAGTAATTCGCCGGCACACAGTTCCAATAACCTGAATTCCAATGCGAAATGCCGTCAAAACATATGATCCAGGAATATGGAACAAATCAATACCGGTCGTACGTAGGCGAATTGGGGGAGTCTCTCGCCACCTACGTTGCGCAATGCCACAAACCGACACCCCCTCCACTTCTATACGCCAGGAAAATTTCAAAAGTACCCAAATAACATCCTGAGATCATCAACTGATAACCAACTTCCTCTTACAACGCGATATCGGCAAAACCAACAAAATAGAATGGGCGTACACTCACCTGTAAATGCTCTTGAAAACGTATTGGTAAAACTTGCGCCATGGCTGCGGATCCACTTGCACTAACTAAACCGAACCGGATAAAAAGCGACCCTCAGAAATCGCGGAGTCTGAAACAATGCAAATTCAATTCACTGCTGTCTCATCGGAAAACACTTTTGACAATCAACATGGCGTTCATTCACGGTCCGAAGAAATTGACAACGACCGGAACATTGTATGATTATTTTACTTTTATACACAACTATTTATTGAATTTACTCACTAAATCGGTTTAGATTCTACATGAAGGAAAAAATGTGGGTTTATAATTTTTCTACGTTGGACAAAATTACAAACTATCCTCCGCCCTCTGCTGCCACATACACAAATGAGTGAAATGGCAGATGATTGATGAAAAGAGAAAGATGGAAATGTTACCGCAATAAAAAATCAATAAAATTTCTCAAATGACAATACAAATCGTCGTCTGTCATTAATAGTGTTGGGCTTTTTCCATACTCTAAGGTGTCGGGTCATGGAAAAATTTCACGTTTGAAAAATATGATATTTTTCAAAAAAATAAACCTTTTTCCAGATATTTTTATTAAATTTTTATTAAATTTTTATTAAAAATTGAAGTTATTGAACGGAAAACGATGGAGACAAGCCAATAAGAGTTGGTGGTGTGGTTGTTGGAGAGTATTTTGATGTTGTGAAATCATTTTAAATCTAATTTCGCTTTATGTAGTTTTTAGATAAACAAGTTTATTTTATAGTTCACGCTAAATAAAACTCCAATATATATTTCTAAACTCAGAACATAATATTGTACTTCAACGTTATAACTATATATTATTCTAATTTTTCGAAATTTCTACCGGAAAAATTTCCACCATTTCAAATTTTTCGGAAAATTACCCAACAGTAGTCACTAATGAAAATGTAGTGTTGGTTCATGGAAAAATTTCCATTTAGAAAAATATATTTTTCAGAAAAAGAAATAATTTTCCCAATATTTCCTCAAGACTATAAAATCTCACTTTCTGTTGGCCACAGAACACTATACTGGCTCCTAATTATAGGTTGCATGTATTACTCTACTCTTTGGGTTGGACGCAAACAGGGTCGTATTCCAGAACTCTACTCAATGCTCAAGTCAGTACTTGAATATGATTTTAAGCAATGGAAATGCGATTCCTATGGCAAGGATTTGAGTATGATTTCTAGTGCTTTAAATCGTACTCAAGCCCTGACTTGAGCATTGAGGGTCGTATTCCAGAACTCTACTCTACTACTATATCTGCACTATATGGGTCGTATTCTAGAACTCTACTCAATGCTCAAGTCAGGATTGCACTGGAAACACAAGCACTGGAATACGACCCTAATGGCAGGGACTTGAGTATGATTTCGAATGCTTTAAGCCATACTCAAATCCTGACGACCTTTAGAGATATAGAGTAATAATTATATATCCTCAAAAATGACTCAAAAAGTGCCATTGAAATTCGGAAAGTGAAATTCACCCATTAATTGTCATATAATTTTTGTCTAGGTATTGTTTAGAGGATGGAAAAATTCCATAGTCTAAGAGGTATTCCTATTTACTCTTAATCGCAATTCCCTGATCCTTTCTACCACATTATTTTTCCTTGCCATTGTTTTCCGTGAATAAGTCTCCCCGTTTTGCAGTGGCACAAACAAAAAACAAAACAAAAAAAGAACTTCCAATCGGGCCATAGACCTTTATTTTTTAATTCTGAACGTAATAATGGCTGTCAGAGAACCCTATGAAAATTGTATGTTTTTGTATTGAAGATTGGTGCATGATTTGCAATATTTGTAGTCTTTTTAAGTGCTGAAACATAATAACTCATCAAGATGGTAAGTTTAACTATCGATCCTCTTTATGAGATATTGTATGTATTTTCATTATGCACTGATTCTCACGATTTTTTAGTTTCAGTTGGGCTTCAATTTATTTCACGAGATCAGTAGGCCTTTTAACATGACCTACAGATGTTTCTCTGTGTCTATGCTGCCAGGGAACGAGCGCCAGGATGTAGAAAGGGGAGGCAAAAGTAAGACACTTGTAAATTATAAAAGGCAGCCAAAAAAGTATCACAAATATCTAAAATTGAATGTTGTAGTAATTTCGTCATTGTTTTTGTATTTTATGTTAACGCCATAATAAAACTGGATAATCGACTTAAAGCTACTTGTATCTATGTGTGAATATATATGTGTGTGTTCTCAAAAGTTCATTTTTTCTCAAAAGACATTTACTTAATAGACATGAGTCGTCATGCAAGCTGCATAGAACCTTTGATTAAGTAATCTAACAAAATAATCAAAATTTGCAGGCACATACTAATTTGAATTTTCATAAAATTATTAATACAATACAAAGATTCAACAACAAGGTCATAGAAAAATTCGTGACATCCGCTGCTTCTGGGGATTGCAGGAATTTTTTCTAAGTGTTCAAGTTTTGTATTAATAATTATTTCCTAAAAGTGTAAACCTTTCCCCTAAAATCTTAAAAAAAAGTATAGTTTTCTAATATTCCTGGTTTATTTTCTTCAATAATTCCAGTAATAATGCCACCTTCAGCTTTAGAGCAGTTGACAAGACTGAATATAGAGTATCCAATGATATTCAAACTTACAAACAAGAAGACCAGGAGAATCACCCATTGTGGTGTATTAGAATTCGTTGCTGATGAAGGAAAAGTGTATCTACCTCACTGGGTATGAATTTACTTATAACATATATACTAATCTGAAAACTTCAAAGAATAAACATAGCTACAGAACCATGATCCTCAAAGTGGTCTATGTTGACCCCCCCAG